CCCATTTCCTCGACGGCGAATACCTAGACACCCATTTCCACAATAGCGAACACCTGGACACCCACTTCCTCGACGACAAACATCTAGACGCTTAATTTCTCGACGGCGAACACCTAGACGCTTAATTCCTGTATCTACCCTTAATTCCTGAATATCTATACACCCTCTTCCTCGACGCGGTAAATACCTAGATCTTCAACAACAATCTCGATATTTCATTTTAATCATAATTAATATTTTATTTTAATTCATTTTATTAATTATATTTCATTTTAATTTCAATTAATTATAATAATAATGCGCCGCGTCCACGTCACGTGGTATATGTGACAATGTTGCCATCGCTGATTATCACAGCCGTCATGTGTGGTTGATCACATTCGAATGTGCAATACTGCCATCGCTAGGTTAAGTCATAAGTCCTCTAGTGTCGAAAAAACGAGATGGACATTTTCTCCTGGTCGACGACAACGTGGACGAAGATAATGATGACGTTTCTTAATATAAAAGTTTCACATTCGTATTTTGCGTCGCAATATCTCCGCTCGTAAAGCACGTAGAGAAAAAATAAAAACACTTTCATTATATATCCCGACCGGTTGCAGTCGATTGAGCACACTTAGAACTTGATCGGTTCAGCCGTTATTGAGATCCGATAATCTCGTACTGTCGCAACTCGCCGTCTCGCGTAAAGTAGCCACGGTAGTGGCGCTGCGCGTAGCTTAGCACCGAGACACTACCAGTGTCTCCAGATATTTATTTAATTTGGTGTTCGAATTACATGGGATTTAACTTGGCGCCAATTGTTGATATCAAATCTTTTTTACGAATAATACTTAAAATTTTGATAAAATTTTGATGATTTTAGCTAGGCGCCAATTTTGTTGATATCAAATCTTTCATACGAATAATACATATCATTAGAGTTAAATAAATTAAGAAAAAAATTTAAGTTACTATTATATTTTTTCTTTGGGAGGATTAAAATGGTAAAATTTAACTTGGCGCCAGTTGTTGATATCAAATCTTTTATACAAATGATACATATCATTAGTTCTACTAAACAGCAAGCGTGATTAGTCATCAATTTCTCGGTCGATTAAGTAATTGGCGTTGGTGAAACTGGCCCAAATGGTTAAAATTTATCTTGGCGCCAGTTGTTGATATCAAATCTTTTATACAAATGATACATATCATTAGTTCTACTAAACAGCAAACGTTATTAGTCATCATTTTCACGGCCGATTAAGTAATTGGCGTTGGTGAATATCTTTTACGCGATGCGCCAAATCGTTGAGTTGTCGCGCGAAACACGTGATCGTTATCGCGACGAAACTGATACAATGATAACGCGTCATCGTACGAGCAGGGCTCGTAGTATCTTATACTAAACGCTTCATGCCGCTGGTACGCGTACGACGACTGCGCGTCTACCTTGTCGGGCTCCGTTTTCCATAGGACTCCAGGTCGGCGTAGACGATGAACGGCACTCGTTCCTGGTTGGGATGTTTGCTGAATTCGAGCCACTTTTCGCTCGCGCTCGGCAGTCGGATGCAACAGTCGTTCATCTTTAGGCAGTCCACTTCGTGCGTCTTCAATTTTTCATTCGAGCTAATGTAATGCAGATACCTGTAAAAATAGAGAAATCATTTTTTCACTCTTTTTAAATATAGTTTTTATTGGCTTTTCTTATTATACTTACCGGTCGCAGAAATATTTCCTATGCTCCTTTCTTGTGAGTTGCGTTCTCACGAGGCGTGACAGGTTCATTATCCATGCAAAGTGGGCGACACCATCTTTGCGTGGATCTTGCAGGTACAGCATGTTGACATGCTTCTCCTTCTCGTCACCGTTGAGACGTAAAGGGAGGACCTGTTCATTTTCAATGCCGTATACATTGATCGACATCACGATCAAATGTTCAAATCTAGAAATGTCTTTTAATGTCATCGGAAACTCAATACCCGCGAGATTTAACACCATAATGTAATGCGGGTACGATGACTCTCGCTCCGTGTTTCTTTCTGCAGGGTACAGAGCGGCGATCACCGACCACGCGAAGCACGCATTGTCCATGGATTTCACGTTGATCACCGCCTTCTCTAACATAATTGCTCGCGGCGATTCGATGTGACATCCCGCGTGCATGGGATTTAATTTGTTCACGTTAACAATCAAGTTGTGGATTTGCAACAGCGCCGTCGTGAGACAGGTTAGTATTACCCTACTGATGACTAGTCATTGCGATAGTAATCCTGCTCAGTACGAGAGGAGCCGCAGATTCGGACATTTGGTTCACGCACTCGGTCGAGCGGCCGGTGGTGCGAAGCTACCATCTGTGGGATTATGCCTGAACGCCTCTATCAAGGCCGTATCCTCTCTAGTCAAAAGTGGCAATGAGATCTCTAGGAGTCTCGTGAGTCGAAAGGCTCAAAACAATGTGACACTACTAGGCAGTAGGCGGCCGGTCCACGGACCGGTCATCGCACGAGCCCGGTTTTCCGTACGGCGCCATGGCCCGTCGTCGGGATCTTACCGCTATAACGGCACGGAGTCTAACAGTCGAACATGAGTTTCGCGAATTCGATGTCGAGACTTGGAATCGTCTGTAGACGACTTAGGTGCTCTTCGAGCGATGTCAAGATAGGCTCGACGACGTACCGTTCGTACCATTCGTGTATATCGGTGCATCGATAAATCTCAATGTTTTTCGTAATTATGCTTTTGTTAACACGTTTATCCTTCGTCGTGTACGAAATGTCGTTCCAATTGCGACTTTGCACCCACGAGTAGCGCGATCCTTGCCACCGCGGATTGTCTATGTCCAACGGCGAGGCGCGGACGTTTGGCACGACAAAGTTCTTCGAGCTGCTCGATGCACTCGTCGCATCGTTGCAGCCACACGAAACACTCCGCCAGAGTGGGGATCCAGTCGCACTGCTCCAGCAGTTCGCGTTCCACTCGCTCGTGATTTTCCATGTCTTTTTTTTTATTTTTTATTTTTAGATCACGTTGCACTCTTCTACGGAGCACTTGCACGTAACTCGTCCACACACGTTGCACCGCCGCTCCATATCTATAATTGCATATTACCTTAGCGCCATGATACTTTTTTAATGTGGAACGGCATGGGCCACACTGAAAGCATTCATCTTCACACGTGTCATGAAAAATATATTTCACCATGGCGGCGGCGGCGGCAGCGGCCGGCAAACGCATTTTTTCGGGGTGTTTATGTAAACACCGATAACGCCGGGGCCTTCCAGCGCCTTCCCCCTCCTTCCCCGCGCCATCAAGTACCCCCCGCGCCTTTCTCCCCGCGCCCCCTCAGATACCTTGAGTTAGAACTGCCCCAGTAATACTACTTTAATATTCAACGACAGTTTGTAAAAACTATCAATATAACTATATTAAAAAACTTTAGAAGGCAAAAGGGCTACGAGCCTGAAATTTTGTCTTTAAAAATATAAAGTTTGAAATAAAAATAATATATTACATATAATTATATTTTAACAAGTTTAATGTGATGGTAAATAGAACTTAACGCAAAAATAAACAAACGTTTCGATTCATATCGGATCATTATCAATGTTATATATAAACGTAAACAGTACATAATAAAAGAATATAAAAATTATATAATCGCTTTAGATCGCAAACTTAAATGTACGTAAATGGAAGAACTTGAGATGTAATAAGTCCGTATGTATGTTCCAATCCGGCAACAATTTAAATCTTTCGGCATTGTGTGTGGAAAAATTAATTTAATGTCTGGTAAAAATTATGTAAAATCATTAAATGTAGCAAAACACAAATGTTGACAAAAAAATCCAGTAAACGTTAGGTTCTCAAATAATATTAAGTAGAAAGTACAATATGACAAAAATTGAGTAGAATTAAATTAAAATAATTAATAAAACTAAACAAATATGTACAAAAAATGATCTAAGAAAGAGAGAATAAATGTGTAATAACCGATGTAATATGGAACAAAAAAAATAAACATAAAAAAATATTGATCGTTGAAATAAACACTATTTGAAATATGTCATAATTAACGTACAGAATATGTCATAATTAACGTACAAAAATGAGTAATTGGTTAAAAAATTAATAATAATATACCTTAACTATCATAAATCGCAGTATTATAAATTGCTCTCTCAATAATTCGTAAGATCGTGTACAGCTTAGTGTTTCTTCCATAATCACAGTTAAGCGACGAGAACCAAAAGAACATCTCACATACATGTACAGAAAACAAGTGACCGAACAAATTCCGGTAAGACAATTTCAAAGCAAACTCCAACGGAAGGGGTAAATTAAGAGAGGGGAGAAAAGAAATAGAAGGGAAAAAGATGGGAAGGAAAGAAGTGTAACGGGAAAGCATTATGAAGGGGAAAGAGCTTGTATGATGTTAGAATACGAGTCTGGTAAAGATTCAGTATCTTTCATTTTATTAATACCCTGTTTCTGTCTTTTGATATGGATCATTTCGGATACAAGTCTCTTGTTATAAAAAGATTCACTGTCAAGAATTCTAACGTCGTTCCATTTAAAGTTATGATCAAAATTGACACGGTGATCGGTTATGACAGTTGGTGACCCAGTATTTTTTCTGATGACCGCCTTATGTTCATTTAATCTCGTGCTCAACTTTCTCTTTGTTTGGCCGACATAACTGGCATCACAATCTTCACAAGAGATATTGTATACTATATTTTGATTTGACATGTATTCCAACTTGTCTTTGTCCCTCTTAATAAAACTCTTCAATGTGTTAGGAATAGTGAAAGCTAATTTGCAATGGAACATACTAGAGATACATAGGTAGGAAGCTCTCAGAAATTGATTTGACATAAGGAATAGTAAAATATTTGCCTTTAACTAGTAAATTACGTGTAATATCTTTATTATGTGTATGGGATTTTATTCTTTGTTCTATTGTGGAAAAAAGTAAGGATAGTGGATAATAATTGTCTAGGAAAATGTTGATAGCTTCAATCAAATTTTTCTGGTGGAACGATGGATGTGACAGTAATAGAATCTTGTCTATGGAACTGATAATTGTACCTTTCTTGTGGCAGAAAGGATGGTTGGAATAAAAATTGAGGAATCTACCGGAAAAAGACTTTTTATGAAAGATATCAAAAATAATTCTATTGTTCTGTATAATAATTTTAGTGTCCAAAAAACTAATTCTACCCTCTGTACCAACTTTCAAAGTAAATTGTAATCGGATATGTAATGAATTGAAAGTGTTAAGTGTGTCAATTATATTGTCAGATGGAAGCGCAAGTATAATATCATCCACATATCTAAAGTAGAATAACGGCTCAACCCTTAGCTTGCTAATGCCACTCTTCTCAAGATCTTGAAGAACCATATCAGCAATAATGGGTGATAGAGGAGAACCCATTGGAGTACCAAATACTTGCTTATAAATTTTTTTATTAAAGGCAAAGAAAGTTAACCCCAAAATAAATCTAACTGCAATGATAAATTCACTTTTTGGAATGCAAGTCTTCGCCGAGATGTGCTCCCATCTCCCATCAATGCTATTCAATGCTAGATCGGTAGGAGTATTTGTAAAGAGGGACACCACATCGAGCGAAGCCAAAACATAACCTGGGTCAACAAATCTACCGTTCAATTTTTCCACCAATTGAAAACTGTCTTTAATATGACTGAACGTCTTTGGTATACTATCATTAATAATGTTGTGCATAGAAAGAGAAAGAGCATATAATGCACCATTAATGGAAGATACTATAACTCTCAATGGGTTACCATCTTTGTGTATTTTGGTTAAACCGTAAGCTCTAGGAATAACACCATCAATAGTGAGTAATCTGCGATATGTAACATCGTCAATGAAACCATTACGCTTCCATCTTACCAACAAAACACGCAGGTCCCGAGTTACTTTTTTTGTAGGATCATTGGTAATCTTTTCATATGTATTCAAATCTGAGAGAATTTCCTCCATTTTTTCAATATATACATTATTGTCAAGTATAACCGTGACACTTCCCTTGTCAGCGTTAGTGATTAATAAATTAGGATGGTCGCTAATAAATTTCTTTGTGACCTGTAACCAATGACAAATTTGTTTGTCATATGAGTTAAGAGAGGGAAAATTGTTCTGAAATCTGTTAAGTATTGAAGTAGAATTATTTCTGACAAAATTTATAATATTTTTTGGTCTACCAATAATATTACATTCGATTTGTTTGATGAATTCTACCAAGGTCTTTTCTTTATTGTTCTTATTAATTGGTAGGCCAAATTTCTCACCAAGTTGTAATAAGAGTTTAACTTCCAAAGGAATGTCACTATCACTCAAATTGACAAACCATTTATTATGTAAGGTATCCAGAGAGGAAGTTTCTTTAAAGTATTGTGGTTGAATATCAATTCTCTCAGAGTCGATGTAACTGTCAGTTGGATTGTCATGGTGTGTGAGTTGAAATTTATTAGAATATTTGTTATTTATATTGGAAACAGAACAATTATAAGAAATAGGTTTAATATTGGATTTGGTAATTTTGCATTTCTTATGTAAAAGCCATTTAATTCTTATATTTATTCTATTAGACTGTTCTACGAAAAATGAACTATTTATATGATCCAAATATTTAAAAAACCCGCAACTTAAAAAGTATGGCAACAAAATAGGAACTGTACTAGAAAGTTGGAAAATGTCTGTTCTGGTAAAATTTAAATGACAGTAAGCATCCCTCAACTCTAGTCGCATAACTGTTTTTACATGATTTAATTGTAACCTTTGAATCTTTCTGTAAGAACTATTATTATACAGGGTGTCCGAAAAGTGTGGAAACGGTCGAATATCTCGAGAAATACACATCGGATCAGAAATCTGAAAATATACGTATTCAATGTTTTCAAAAAAGCTATCTTTTGGCATCTAACATGACTCCCCACCCCCACCCGCTGTGGGTGAAAGAGAGGGTAAGTTTAAAATTTTAAATGGGAACCCCCATTTCTTTATTGCAGATTTCACTTCTTTAGAAAAAGTTACATAAATTTTACTATTACAAACTTTTTTTGATGACAGATGGCGCTGTAATCAGCGAAATTAAAAAATGAGTCTAAAACGTTTAAAATATCTCAAGAAATACTCAAAGGATCAAAAAAATAAAAATGTACGTATTCAATGTTGTCAAGAAAGCTATCCATTGACACAAAAACTCTACCCCCCACCTACCATCCGCCGGGGGTGAAAGGGTAGGTAACTTCAAAATTTTTAATGAGAAAACCCCCATGTTTTATTGCAGATTTCGCTTCTACAGAAAAAGTCGTATTAACCCTTTAACGCCGAGATGTGCTGAATTTCGACATGGATTTCAACCCCCAACAATTAGCAGAAAAGAACGTAGACAAGTATCGGAAGGTCCATTTGTATGTAATAAGGTATCAGAAACGTGTTCCCAATAGTTAAACTTCGAAAACGTGTACTGTATACAATTTTCATTTTTCGATTTTGAGTTCGCAATGGCGCCTACAAGCTCAAAATTTTTCGAAATTTTACGAAATATTCAAAGGCAAAAGACGCTGCTTCAAATTTTGA